TGTCTTGTCAAAGGAAACACATCCACGAACGCTTTCTCTGTTAAAATAAATAGGGATGAGCCTATTAGTGAGCTCAAAAAAGTTATCAAGGCCGAGCTTCACCCACAGTTCGAGCATGTTACGGTCAAAGACATCAAGCTGTGGAAGGTGGAAATTCCTGACGATCGTGATTCCGAGTTGGCCAACCCCGAATTAGCTGACGAACTTCTAGCAACTCGAGACGTAGGAGATTACTGGACCGCACCACCAAAGCGACATATTCATGTTATAGTCGAGCCACCGGAGTTCGCGAAAGAGATTAACTGCACCGCTTCATATGGTCGCAACAATATGGTAAATTTTCAGTGGCCTACAAACCGGGTTAAAACCACACTAGCGGAGCTTAAATCTCGTCTTCGCACCTGTTTCACTTTTCCTGACGGCATTGAGGATGAGGACATAACCATAAGCCGTGAGATTGGTAGCGGAAAAGATCGCACAACCACTCAAATTCTGAACGATATAGACTTAGCGAACATAATCTGGGGCGATTCTTTCAAGGGTGATTTAGTATTCGTTGTCGATACGTCGCAACAACCATTCAGCTCGTGGACTTTTGTCTGACGGCCGACAGTTATGATCAATTACCACGCTTCAAGGGTGAAGTAGCGAAAACCCCCGTGAAAATTCGAAATGCTGTCATCGAGGAAATTTTGAGAATGCATAAAGTATCGCCACCAATTACCAGCGCTAACGAAGCCACCCGATACGAATTAATATCAGCTATAATTTACGGTGTAGCATCAATTTTTGAGGGCGAGATAAAATCTACCCACAATACGAAATTGCTGGAAGGTAAAAATACTCATCGATTTTTTATTATTATGCTACTTATTTATATCAACAGAGCCGTACATTCACAAAAATTAATTCTAGTCATGGTAAAGGACCAATCGATTGGGTTATAATGATAGGCGATATTATCATTACGGTAACGGAGGCGAAACGAGAGGATATCAACCAAGGAGTAGCACAAAATACTGTGATGTTTGGGATAGTTTCGACGGGTGTAGATTGGGTTATTATTAAAGTTGTTGCAAGCGGGAATAATGGTGAAGGAAATATCGAGGTTTTTCTAAATTCGCTTTCACCATATCCATTACCAATTAATCATCCGTCATTGGATCATGAACAACTAGTGGGGCCAGTCGAAGAAATTTTTGGTCAAATCAAGTGGGTTTTCGACCAACAGATAGAAACAAAGGGCAAACAGAAGCGACAGCGTAGGGAATAATACTAGGATAGGAATCTTCGCGGGTTATGTAATTTATTTTTTGTATTATATATCCCTTTGATATATTTTTCATAAATAAAATAAGCTTGTATCACACGTGATTTTTGATTGCTGATAAGCCGAGTATCTGTGAAACGATCTACAAATATTGTGGACGAATCATGTTAGAGATGATCCGGAATTGTCAATCACGAGCTAGCTAGATTTCGATTCCTAATTCATTTATATGTATTAGCTGAGGTAGTTAGCTCATTAACCGTAATAAATTACCCAACACGAATGTTGTTTTGCGTTCGAATCCATAATGAAGGGACGAATTAGTTACTTAGGCAGATGTGCCGGCTTGCGTCGAATCATAATTGATTAATTTTCGCTGGTTATTGTGATCGACACATGAGCGACAATTTTCGCGTTCGCTAATGTTACATGTCATATCCTGTAGTTCTGGAGCTGAAGCCTATAAAAACGCACTATGTCGCGGGTCAAATTCGCAGGTTCGTCCTTAGAACAATTTACAATACATCGCAAAAATGTTCTCAATCAATTCAGATTTTTTCGTGCTCGTCGTGTTCATTCTAGTCCAATCACTGGTATTATACCTAAATACTCGAAGAGTGGAAAACCGTATAACTGCGGAATTGTCTGCTATCAAAAAATCACGGCGAAACTCAAGCGCTAATACCGAATTGCTACAAAAAATAAACGATCTCGATCGCAATATAAGCCTAATGGGCTACGAAGTTCGCGACATCAAAAATGGTGTTGGCAGTCGCGACAGTAATTCCGGCTCTCGACGGTCCGGGTCTAATAGAACACCTCAAGATTACACCGGCGATATTCAAACTCTCTGGCAAGTTTTCGATCGCCTATTCAAAGAAAAACGTCGACTAGAGAAACGAACCGAGTCCTCAATGTATTCCAAAATTTCAGAAGAAATAAGGGAGCTGGGCCAGCGTCTTGGAGATGCGACTATCCGGAAATTTCACAAACGTTTAACCCGTAATCCCACGGATGAAACCATAGAATTTATTAGGCTATGGGTTGATAATGAACGAGAATTAGATACAGAGGTAGAAGAGGAGGAAAATAGTGATAGCGCTGGACCTAGCGGGACGAGAGAATAGGGGGTAGTCATCGCCTTCGGGCAAAGCTTTGGAGCTGACTTCCACTGGTGCACCAGTTTCCCTCCCATGCAGTCGTGCTAGGTCCAAGTTTTTTATATTTCGCTGAAAAGAGAAATAAATTTTAGCCGTGTTAGGTTCGCCAATTTGACTTTTAATCATCTTCCGCGTGCTCGAAATTTGTTGTGACACAATCACTAGTCTGATAAATTCCGTGATTTTTGCTTTTGCATCGTGGGAAAATTTTATTTTACATTATCTAGCTTGCAATTGTCTTCTCCAAAACCAAAATGTCAACATACACCAACTCGGATAGTTATTCCTTTGTTCGAACTTTTAGCAATGTTAGTAGAGCAAGCGCCGGGTCTAAAACCACTGTGCGAGTAATATGTGTAACTAGTATTCTCTAATCTTTCAGCTAACTTTCCGGAGCTATTCTTTAGCGACAGCGTTGATGTTGTTCCAGAAAGAATGCCAGAGTATCACTATTATCGAACCCTGTGGTGGGAGAAAGGCGAGTTCAATCCAAAAGCAAAATGGGAAAAAGCAACGTAAGTCCCTTTCCTACTTGTTGTGAAGTTGACTCGCTATTCTATGATCTAAGCCAATTTTTGCTATTCGTATCAAGACTTCCGTACAAACTTGCCATTGGTGTCACCTTGGAAGAATATGAACGGCGTTCGGAGGAGTTTAACATCCATGGATATTGGGAATGGGTTAATGGCAAAGTTATAATTTATGAATTGCCCTCAAAACCGCATGAAATTTGCATCGGTGTGATTACTAGGATGTTATTGAACCAAACTAATGCCGTTGCTTTTACCAATGCCGAGATCTATAGTCTTGGGTCAACTCGTAAGTATATATTAATTATCTTTGCATTATGCCTATTCGATACTAATTTTAATTGTAAAGGAACCTATGCTGATGATTCTGCGAAAGAGGCCGACAATTCATTTCGTCCGGAAAAACTAGAAGCAAAATATCCCAATGGAATTGATAAAGGGGTACCTTGTGTTTTTCCCATTGAACCCTTCAAAGCTAGAGGTTTCATATTATATTCTTTTATTTTTTAGACTGACCCATGGCCAAATCTGGTTATCGAAGTTGCATATTCCGAAACCATAGATCATGTTACAGACAAGGTGAATACATACTGGCTAAAACCTGATCGTGCCCATGATGCCATTGTTGTAAAAATTGTTCCGGTTCCTGATAATCAAATACCTACTCGTATGATAGTAAGTCATGTTTTTACAGTTTAGAAATCTTATTATTTGTATAAGATTCTAAAAATTTTAATTTATTGCAGGCATGGCATTATTGTGTTTCGGATAGAATAACGAGAGGTATATTGCCAGCCAGAACTTCGGTAAAGTTAGACTATATTGATGTTCTTTTTGGCTAATGTTGAAAATTCTAAATGTTATAATTGATCATTAGTTTGAATTCGGCACTATTGACGAGAATGGAAATCCTTTAGCTTTTTCGCAAGGTACACGTGTTATAAATATTGCATTAAGCTGTCTATACCACGATGTACATTCTTCTCTCACAATTCCTCCGAGTCTTCCCGATCCTATCCAAATCGATTTTTTTTATATTAAAAACGCATTTATTAGTGCGTTTAAGTCCCGTAAAAGAGATTAAGTATTAATTCTAGGAAAGCGAAAAGTGATGGTATAATAATTTCATTATCTTCATCTTATTGTTACATTCTCACGCTATCCACTTATCCAGATATAAATAGTTATTTGCTTGAACGCAAATCTTAATCATGTGAATTTAAATTTACGATAAAAAGGTTTTGAATAAATGTACTTGCTATATACTGTACGTAAAAGAATGTCAGACACTCAATCCAAAATCGATTCGTTAAAAAAATTAAATTTGAAGCTTATAGCTGAGATTACTGAACTTAGAAAGAAGAACGCTGAGATTCCTGAACTTAGAAAGGAGAATGCCGAGGTTAAGGCTGAGAATTCGAAGCTAAAACGGGCAATGGAGGAGAATACTGAGCTTAAAACTGAAGTAGCAAAATTAAGACATGATTTTGAGGAGATCAAACGGGACCGAACTATTACTAATGCACAGAAAGTACATTCTACAGAAGATATTTCACCTACTTCATCAACTACCGAGAACCACTTGGGTGAGTTGGAGACTTTGGGCTTTACCCATCCAAAACAAAATCCGGATAATACGATCAAACAGAAAGTCGATATAACTGCTGATACATCTAACTCTGACATAAGCCAACCTATCTACACCGAATCTAAATTGGTAGAAGAGAGAGAGATGGATGTATTTCCGGATTCGGAGATTAAGAAAAGAGTTAGTACCAAGATGAGAGACAGAAACAGGGAGAAGATGCAAGCCCAAGTTTCATACAATGCTTCTTCGATCTCAGCCGATTGCAGGCCTAGAGGGGCGACCCTAAAGGGCCATAAGATTTCGGATACTGAGGCAGAGGATGAACCATGTGGTGATTTGGAAAAATATCCATTAAACCATAATCAGAATTCAGAATCGACTATACTTAATATCTCTAATAATTTTAACACCGGAGATCTTATTGAATCCGAACGTGAAGTTATTATCAAGTTGGATAAAAACCTAATTACGGAACAGGAGTTAAAACAACAACTGTCAACATATATACTTGCTCCCATAACTCCAGTTCGGCTTCGAGATCAAGACTCATCTTCAGTTACAGCGGAAAGTATAGTTCATGCATTTTATAAAGCCATTCAATCGGGACAAGAAGGGATACTTTATTGGTATTATTTTATAGAAAAATATGACAAAAAAATCGATAAGATTGTTATTAGTGGAGTTAAGAGAAAAACTGTAACATCTATGGTATACCAAGAAATCAAACAACTTCTACCTGATATAACTGATAAAAATTTGCGTCAAAAAATCCTTAGAGCTAGAAAAATATATACGTTATTTAATACATTAGGAGTAGAAAAGATTAAACAAGTCTCTTATAGCGCTGATGCTATTTCAAGCCTTACTTATCAACAAATTCAAAATATTATAGATCATGTGATCTCGAAAACCGTTAAGAATTCTTCACGATCAGATCAATGCAACGGTAACGTTCCAGCTACATCTCCTATTTCTCCAAATCATATCTCTAGCCACTCTGCGACTACCTTCTGCAATTCCTCAAATCCAGACGATTTGCCCAAAGCATCATCTGAAAAGGTTTCACTGGAAAAATTTCCAGAAACTAAGGTGAGTGTATCATCTTTAGACACGAAAGCCAATGTTGGTGAATCACAATCTCTAATTACTACTTTATCCAATGATGAGCCGGAAGATTTCTCTAACAACAATGAGGCAGATGATATGTGCATAATGTATTCTGACGATGATGATGCAGGATATTATTACAATCTAAACAGCCGAGAAAAGTTTTATAAAGACCCGTCTATAGAATGCTTTGCATGATTTAAGTTTTACAGAATAAAATATAGAATTCGAAATTCCATAGAGTATATAACATGCGAAGTTTATTATCATTTTTACTTCCACTCTAATTTCATCACGGCTGGAGACGCGCAGATGAGTATATAACTCAGTGGCAGATAGAAAGTAAAATACATTTGCTCCGAATTTCAAATCGATCATCTTACTGATAGGCGGTGGGTGGGATATACAAAACAAACCGAAAAAATATATTATCTGATCTATAAATTATGCTCTACTCATCCAATTTCAATGCAGTGTCCCATCCAAGTCTCACCGCGAGGGGGTCATTCCCTGCCTTTGTAAAATCAAAGACCACAAAATCCCGATCTCGCAAATGCTTATCAATAATCTTAGATGCTTTTTTTGGGTCATCTGTATATTGACGCACAATTCTGCAAATATCGTCCCGGCTTCCCGAACCTCTGAATAGGGCTAAATGTGAGACATTTTCACGAATGATTTTAGGGGTTTGTGTATATTTCTGACTCACGTATATAGGTGAGATATTTTGGTGCCGGCCACTAATAAAATAAGGAATGATTCGCTCTTGCACTTTCTTCGATTCAGCGCACAGATCCTCAAATACAACAACTGTATTTTGGTCTGGTGAGAATTTAGTTATATCTGGAATTTTATCTGGAGATATTCTTTTAAATGTGACATCTTCTCGATATGATTTAGGGGCATTCGCAAAGATCTGAAAGCTATTTTGTACAAGTTGCCATTTCGGCTCAAAATGTTTGCCTATTAATATGAGATCATCATTTTTGATATAACGATTTCCTTTCTTACCTTTAAACATTCGTTGTAATTTATTACCTAGCATAAGATTAATTATCATGTTGGTTTTTCCGCTATTGGACCCTCCACATACCAGCAATCTGAATGGACCCTCTGGTGAATATTTATTATCTTTCATTCGTTCTGAGGATTTGTTTGATGTCTCGTCGATGTTGTATACATATATGGGCATGCCTTTATCTTTCATGCTAGCCAAGATAAGTAATATTTATTCTTTATATGATAAATAACCTCTCTCATGTAATTTGCTTTTTATATAGGAAAATAAATCACAATCGAACGGGATACAAATAAGATTTATACCTTCTCGAGCACATATATTCTGCTTTTTTTGATCACGATTTTTTTGTGTATCTAGGTCGACCTCGCCATTGGGATGAAAGTGTTTTGGAACAACACGAAAATGTTGAACTCCCTGGAATTCGTATGCTAATTTTAGCTCTTCATTATACCCATCTAATTGCATCCCATTCAAAAACGGCGGTTTACAAGATGGAAATTTCTTACCCAACAGATCCTCAAAAATATATCTACATCTCCGCTCATCGCTATAATAGAAGCAAATTGAACACCATTCAAATTTCGTAGCTATTAACAGATATGGATGTTCTCACTGATGGTTTTGGTTTTCACATGACCAGAGATATACATTGAAATCATTTATTTGGCCAGTTTTACCAAGACATTTTCCGTCATGCTTCTCGGCATATTGTTGAGCCTTGGTTATTTTATTAATAATACGAATAAAATTAATAGATCTGGAGCGAGTATTTTCTTCCAATATACTCTGAGGTGGATACTGAAGTTTTTCTAGATCTATGTGCATGAGCTCTTCACGTACAAACCCCCGCTTTAGAGGATATTCATCATCATCATCTCTGAGATAATATAAAATTGGCTCATTCTTCGTTACAACAATTTTTCGAATTTTATGAATGCTTGGACTGAATGTGGAATCCGTCGCTCTTTTCTGATTCTCTATACCTCCTTCCCATTCGGCATTAGCAAGCAGATAGCGAACACTATCTCCTTTTTTTAACTTATTTTTCTCATCCTTTCCAATAAGACGTTTATACTTTGTAGATGGTCTAGATTCTACTCGTTCCAATTTAATAGCTTTTGCTGGAGCTAAACCCCATTTTGATGAACCTGGAGCTCGAATGAGATGTGTCAGATAATTATTTAGGTAATTAATAACTTCTGGTAAATACTTGACCCACTCTCTTATTAATTTAGGATTTTTAGATATTGATTCGACAGCATATTGAATTTTATAAAGCATCTCTGCTAACGTCTTATTGAATCGTTCTACAAGAGCTAATTCACGATGACTATAAGCACCAATTACTCGAATTGTGACATTATGCGCTTCCATTATTTTTGAAGTTTCACCCATGAATTCTTTACCACCATCAATGATTAGCAATTTAGACCAGGTTAATGAATTTGATGAACTATTATAAATTTTCTTGAACGCTTTAGTAACTTCAGAGCTTTTCTTTGACATAAGAGGAACACTTGCCTTGAACCTGCTAGTCACATCTATAATTTGTAATACTGTTTTCCATGTCTTCCCCTTATATTTATCATGCGTAAGAAATAAGAGGTCACACTGATGTACACAATTTGAACATGAAATTTTATTATAACTAACTCGTGAAATATTTTTCTGTGACGGAACGTACTTTTGTCATTCATTCTGGTTATATAACCATTCATGAATTTTTTTATATGGGAAGTTATATCCTTTATCTTTGATAGCATTATACAGCTTTTGAGGGTTGGAATGGTAACCAGTAGGTTGGTAAAAAAACAATTTACAAATTAAGTTTAACTCCTCGTCTGGATCGATTCTAATAATAGGCTTGCTCAATCTATGCAAAGCATGATCTAAGGACCTACTCATTTTTGATATTACTTATTATAGCAAAGTCAAGAGATAAGATAATATAATATGCCATAAAAA